GGCCATGTATTAAGCAATATTCCCTGGATATGTTACGCACTTTCCCGTTAGAGAAGTTACAATTATTTATATATAATTATATTTCAACGAAGCTCTGTTATATCCCTGATAGTCTGTAATATATGCTGTGTTTTCCTATGTAAATGACTTTGGGCAGCGACTCTGTATTGTGTATTTACTGAATGAACTGGGTGTATTACACTATAGTGCAGACGACGAGTCACAATAACCTTGGTTTGAAGATATGAGAACTAAACAACACACTAGAAGCTGAAGGGACGACGACGTTTCGGTCCCTCTTGGACCATTCTCAAGTCGATTGTCACAATCTACTTGATAATGGTCCAGGAGGGACCATTATCAAGTAGATTGGTTATCTCCTCATCTCATCGCCTCATTATCTCCTCATTTTCTGGTGTGTAGTTTAGTGCTCATTACACTATAGTGATTGTGTTCAGCTGTGTAGCCAACCCTTATTAATGAACACTTTATTTACTGCACAAGTCTTTTCATTCATCTCTCTTCTGTTCATTCATTAGCAATATATTGTTCAGCTCTGTCATCCCGTACTGATAAGACCCATAATATGAATATAAGTTAACTTCTTGAGGTTATCTTGAGATGATTTCGGGGCTTTAGTGTCCCCGCGGCCCGGTCCTCGACCAGGCCTCCTTTTTGTTACATATCCCCAGGAAGCAGCCCATAGCAGCTGTCTAACTCCCAGGTACCTATTTACTGCTAGGTAAACAAGTGCACCAGGGTGAAAGAAACTCTGCCCATTTGTTTCCGCCTTCACTGGGGATCGAACCCGGAACCTTAGGAACTTAGGAATAACCCGGAACCCGGAACCTCGAATTTAGGAATATGAATCCGGAGCGCTGTCCACTTAGCCGTCAGGCCCCTGTTGTCAAGGCCTGTAATACCAAACATTCTCCATTTATCGTGTGTTTGGGTTTATGGCACGGCACTTTCCTCGGTAATCTTACGTGCTCCACACGACAAATCTTTCTTCGGTCAAAACATTAACATCTTGTTAATAAGTATGAGACCACCTTCCAAGAATTGGCCTCATACTTGTTTACAAAAAGTTCTTCAGTATATTGTAACAAGATAAAATAGGAAGATTAAATACGTCACAATGACACAGGAAGTCAAACATGACATTTCCTGTGGATGAAATTTCCTCCAGAGATGACATTTCCTGTGGCGCTGTGGTACGACATTCGCTCCGCCACCGAGTTTTATTTTTCTCCTGGGGTTCAGACCCCTGGCTAAGGAAGACTGACTGTTCGTCCCTGTTCGCCCAGTAACAGTTGACAATCTGGAATCATATCGCCTGGCGGGTTCCAGGGAGACCTTGTTCGCTATCAACTGTTGGAAGGGAACATTAGATATCGTGTTTTCTGCCTCTGTACCCAGAAGCCGGTCGGCCGAGCGGACAACACGCTGGACTTGTGATCCTGTGGTCCCGGGTGAGAAACAATGGGCAGAGTTTCTTTCACCCTATACCCCTGTTACCTAGCAATAAATTAGGTACCTGGGTGTTAGTCAGCTGTCACGGGCTGCTTCCTGGGGGTGGAGGCCTGGTTGAGGACCGGGCCGCGGGGACACTAAAGCCCCGAAATCATCTCAAGATAACCTCAAGAGAAGGGTAAACGATGAAAAACAAAAATGGAACAAGTTATCACTTAAGCAAGTGTAGCTGTAACACCCTCATATAATATTTGGAAGCTCTCGTTTCCACATATTACTTGGAGGCCCATAGACCTCTGGGGGTAGATTCACGGAACAGTTACGCAAGCACTTACGAACTTGTCCATCTTTCCTCAATCTTTGGCGACTTTGTTTACAATTATTAAATAGTTAATGAGCTCCGAAGCACCAGGAGGCTGTTTATAAGAATAACAACAGTTGATTGGTAAGTTTCATGCTTGTAAACTATTTAATAAATGTAACCAAAGCCGTCAAAGATTCAGGAAAGATGTACACGTTCGTAAATACTTGCGTAATTGCTTCGTGAATCTGGGTCCTGGTCAATAGAAGGTGTAATCAACCTGGTGTAATCAACCTGGTGTAATCAACCTGGTGTAATCAACCTGGTGTAAACAACCTGGTGTAAGCAACCTGGTGTAATCTACCTGGTGTAAACAACCTGGTGTAAACAACCTGGTGTAAACAACCTGGTGTAAACAACCTGGTGTAAGCAACCTGGTGTAATCAACCTGATGTAAGCAACCTGGTGTAAGCAACCTGGTGTAAACAACCTGGTGTAAGCAACCTGGTGTAATCAACCTGATGTAAGCAACCTGGTGTAAGCAACCTGGTGTAATCAACCTGGTGTAATCAACCTGGTGTAAACAACCTGGTGTAATCAACCTGGTGTAAACAACCTGGTGTAAACAACCTGGTGTAAACAACCTGGTGTAATCAACCTGGTGTAAGCAACCTGGTGTAAGCAACCTGGTGTAAACAACCTGGTGTAAACAACCTGGTGTAAACAACCTGGTGTAAGCAACCTGGTGTAATCAACCTGGTGTAAGCAACCTGGTGTAAGCAACCTGGTGTAAACAACCTGGTGTAAACAACCTGGTGTAAACAACCTGGTGTAAGCAACCTGGTGTAATCAACCTGGTGTAAGCAACCTGGTGTAAGCAACCTGGTGTAAACAACCTGGTGTAAACAACCTGGTGTAAACAACCTGGTGTAAGTAACCTGGTGTAATCAACCTGGTGTAAACAACCTGGTGTAATCAACCTGGTGTAAACAACCTGGTGTAATCAACCTGGTGTAATCAACCTGGTGTAAACAACCTGGTGTAATCAACCTGGTGTAAACAACCTGGTGTAATCAACCTGGTGTAATCAACCTGGTGTAATCAACCTGGTATAATCAACCTGGTGTAAACAACCTGGTGTAATCAACCTGGTGTAAACAACCTGGTGTAATCAACCTGGTGTAATCAACCTGGTATAATCAACCTGGTGTAAACAACCTGGTGTAATCAACCTGTAGAAGGTTCCTGGCTCGGAAGAAGGTGTAAACAACTTTTATACCTCAACTTTATATTAATAACGTTATTGAAGAAGTACGGCGTAACTGCGGGTCGGGAGGCCTGGCACCTGTAGCAGCCACTGGCACCTGTAGCAGCCACTGGCACCTGTAGCAGCCACTGGCACCTGTAGCAGCCACTGGCACCTGTAGCAGCCACTGGCACCTCCAACACGTTCTAAAACAACAAACGTTTCCCAGACATATATTCTGATAATTGTAAACAAATATATTTAGAACACTGGTACGACATTCTGAACAAAACTAAACAAAATAGATGCTTAGCCACGTAGTGGAGCACAACCCTGTTCAGTTTTTAAGGCAGAGATTACGAAGTATCAGGAAGCACTAGTGTATGACACTGACACTTATGAAGCATCAGGAAGCACTAGTGTATGACACTGACACTTATGAAGCATCAGGAAGCACTAGTGTATGACACTGACACTTATGAAGCATCAGGAAGCACTAGTGTATGACACTGACACTTATAAAGTATCAGGAAGCACTAGTGTATGACACTGACACTTATGAAGCATCAGGAAGCACTAGTGTATGACACTGACACTTATAAAGTATCAGGAAGCACTAGTGTATGACACTGACACTTATGAAGCATCAGGAAGCACTAGTGTATGACACTGACACTTATAAAGTATCAGAAAGCACTTGTGTATGACACTGACACTTATGAAGCATCAGGAAGCACTAATGTATGACACTGACACTTATGAAGCATCAGGAAGCACTAATGTATGACACTGACACTTATGAAGCATCAGGAAGCACTAGTGTATGACACTGACACTTATGAAGCATCAGGAAGCACTAATGTATGACACTGACACTTATGAAGCATCAGGAAGCACTAGTGTATGACACTGACACTTATGAAGCATCAGGAAGCACTAATGTATGACACTGACACTTATGAAGCATCAGGAAGCACTAGTGTATGACACTGACACTTATGAAGCTTCAGGAAGCACTAGTGTATGACACTGACACTTATGAAGCATCAGGAAGCACTAGTGTATGACACTGACACTTATGAAGCATCATGAAGCACTAGTGTATGACACTGACACTTATAAAGTATCAGGAAGCACTTGTGTTTGACACTGGCACTTATGAAGCATCAGGAAGCACTAGTGTTTGACACTGGCACTTATGAAGCATCAGGAAGCACTAGTGTATGACACTGACACTTATGAAGCATCAGGAAGCACTAGTGTATGACACTGACACTTATGAAGCATCAGGAAGCACTAATGTATGACACTGACACTTATGAAGCACCAGGAAGCACTAGTGTATGACACTGACACTTATGAAGCATCAGGAAGCACTAATGTATGACACTGACACTTATGAAGCATCAGGAAGCACTAGTGTATGACACTGACACTTATGAAGCATCAGGAAGCACTAGTGTATGACACTGACACTTATGAAGCATCAGGAAGCACTAGTGTATGACACTGACACTTATGAATCATCAGGAAGCACTAGTGTATGACACTGGCACTTATGAAGCATCAGGAAGCACGAGTGTATGACACTGACACATTTACAAGCACGAAGGATCGTGTGATACCAGCTGCCGGCTAATAAATTGCATTTCATTATGAACTTGCTGAGTTCTTAAACTGAAAGACATGGATGTGTATCCGTTTATTCTGAGGAATCCCTCATGTTCATATTCTATAAATTCTGATTTATATAACAAAGAATGAACGAGATAGAATAATACGGTAACACGAGCAGGTGGAAGTGGAAAGGGTTACACGAGCAGGTGGAAGTGGAAAGGGTTACACGAGTAGGTGGAAGTGGAAAGGGTTACACGAGCAGGTGGAAGTGGAAAGGGTTACACGAGCAGGTGGAAGTAGAAAGGGTTACACGAGCAGGTGGAAAACAAGTGTTTACGACGGAACGGAAAAAGTGTTACTGACCTGATGGGGAAGTGTTGCTCTGACAACTTTGGTGGCCTTCCGCCAGCTGATGTAGCCCTGGGGAAGGCGCGGAGGGCAACCCCCTTCCTTGTCCTCCTCCCCCAGGGGTAGATCCCCAAGGGGAGGCATGTCGTCATCGTCGTCGGTGATATCTTCACTCTTATCGTACATTAAACCACGATCGTAAGTGTCTTGGGTTCCTGAGGCCCCAGAGGCCCCCCGAGACCCCTCCTGCAACTGCTTGCCTATGAGAGGAGTGCTCATCTTGGGCACGGCTACCTTGGGGCTCTCTAACGCCGGGACCTCCATACCCTGGGGAGTTACTGGGGAAGACTCCAGGGCACGAGCAAGCTCCAAGGAGGGAGAAAAAGGCGGGATTATACGTCTCTGCATTTGGCTGCTTTCTGCTGTCTCTTGGGAGAGCGTTGCGTGAGTTCTAACTCTGAGCAGCAGCAGCAGCAGGAGGGCCGCTCTGCAGGGAGGCTTGGCATGCATGGTGTTTGGTATCTATAGCAGAAACACAGGCAGGCAAGGAGGGTCGGGGTCTCCGTGGATCATGGAGCAACACCCGTCACTTGGTCCACTCTCCACCGTGGGAAGGTCACATTATATTATCAAGAAAGTGTTGCTACAATTAAATGCTCACCTTTACCATATTTGTTCAGTTACTCGAATATTTGTTCTTTGTTCTTTGGTACTTAAAAAAATATTTAAATATATATGTATAAATATCTATAGGTTTGGGTTCACGTGTGTGTGTGTGTGTGTGTGTGTGTGTGTGTGTGTGTGTGTGTGTGTGTGTGTGCGCCGGGATGATAACACTAATAGTCACTCACAAGTCAGGCATCCTCACTAATTAACAAGGTAACAAATTTTGATGCAGAAACAGATGATCGTCTGCCGGAGACTCACAGACCAGCTGTCGTCTCACAGATCAGCTGTCGTCTCACAGATCAGCTGTCGTCTCACAGATCAGCTGTCGTCTCACAGATCAACTGTCGTCTCACAGATCACCTGTCGTCTCACAGATCACCTGGCGTCTCACAGACCACCTGGCGTCTCACAGATCACCTGGCGTCTCACAGACCACCTGGCGTCTCACAGACCACCTGGCGTCTCACAGACCACCTGGCGTCTCACAGACCACCTGGCGTCTCACAGACCACCTGACGTCTCACAGACCACCTGGCGTCTCACAGACCACCTGGCGTCTCACAGACCACCTGGCGTCTCAGACCAGCTGTTACGTTCGACAGCCAGTTGACCGCCACCTGCGTCATCCCGGAGTGAAGGATGAGGGAGCCAGCCTGAACCTGTAAGAAAAAGAGCGCTGAATACTCATGTCTGACAAGCAACAATGAAAGTTTACTAATATTAACGTGCAACAGATGTAATGCATTACGTATCACTCTTAAATGAGAATACTTACAAGTACTTGAACTTAACACTTCGTGTCTCAGAAGAACTTACTAGTACTTGAACTCAGTTACTTAAATACTACACTTTTTCAAGGAACAAAATTACTTTGAGAGAAAGTTGTTTCTTCTTTAGTGTGGTTAGTTGTTAATTGGAGTGGCATGTTGTGGGGATAGAGGTAAAGTTGGGGGTGGGGGGGTGGCTTGATTTGGGGGTGGAGGTTGAGGCAGGGATAGGGTTGAGAGAGAGTGGTGGGGAAGGAGGTTGATCTAAAGCAAAGAGGTTATCTTGTGGGGGAAGGGTGGGTGAACTGCTCTTCCCACACGAGTGGGTGGGTGAGACAATCTCCCCCACACGAGTGGATGGGTGAGACAATCTCCCCCGCACGAGTGGGTGTCTGAGACAGTCTCTCCCACACGAGTGAGTGGCTGAGACAGTCTCTCCCACACGAGTGAGTGGCTGAGACAGTCTCTCCCACACGAGTGAGTGGCTGAGACAGTCTCTCCCACACGAGTGAGTGGCTGAGACAGTCTCTTCCACACGAGTGAGTGGCTGAGAGTCTCCCCCACACGAGTGAGTGGCTGAGACAGTCTCCCCCACACGAGTGGGTGGCTGAGATAGCCTCCCCCATACAAGTGGGTGGCTGAGATAGCCTCCCCAACACAAGTGGGTGGCTGAGACAGCCTCCCCCACACGAGTGGGTGGCTGAGACAGTCTCCCCCACACAAGTGGGTGGCTGAGACAGCCTCCCCCACACGAGTGGGTGGCTGAGACAGTCTCCCCCACACGAGTGGGTGGCTGAGATAGCCTCCCCCACACGAGTGAGTGGGTGAGCCAGTCTGGTACACCTTCTGAACTTGTATCGGATCAGAATATCTGCCAATATTCAGAATATCTTCCAATGCTATCGTTTGAACTTTCTTCCCCTCGTCATATTGAAGACACAACAAGGACAGACCTTCGTCTCCAAGGCCAACCCGCGCTCTCAGTCGCCAGGGAAAAATGCAATATGAATAACCAGAAGATTTCACACTTTCCTCGGAGAAAACATTGAATAGACTGTGTTGTACTTGACAATGTTGCAAATATTGTCCTTGATAATGTGGCACATGTTTTCCACGACACTGTTGCACATGTTGTCCTTGACAATGCACATTTCTCTTGCATTATTTTTTTTTGCTACTGTTGCTTCTGCTGATGTTGATCTTGCTGCTGCTGTTTCTGTAGAAGTTCTTTCAATTGCTGCTGTTTGCATTGCTGTTAATAATGATACTGTCATTATTATGGTTGATGCTATTATTAGTAATATTGATGCTATTATTGTTAATATAGATTCTATTATTGATGCTATTCCTGGCGTTATTCCTCTCGTATATGCAATTAGTACAGCCATTGATGCTATTATTGCTACTATTGATGCTATTATTGCTACTATTGATGCTATTATTGCTACTATTGATGCTATTATTGCTACTATTGATGTTATTATTGCTACTATTGATGCTATTATTACTACTATTGATGATATTTTTAAGGGTATATTTGCCACTGAAAAATTCAATGGGACATGTAAGATGGAGACTGTATGTGATTCTAGTATATGAGATCTATCATTGTTTACAATATAGTCGTTCATGTGAGCATAATACAAAGGAGCTTCGGCCGGCATACGTGCTGCTTCATTTCAGTCACCGACAGCACCTTTGTCTTTTTCTGATTCGGCTCATTTCCATCATAACTTATTTCGGTCCACTTGCTATATGTTTCCTTTGGGTCATCTGTTGGGACCTTGTAACGGAAAGCAATACGATTTTCCCGCGAGTGATAAGCGGCTCGGCGGACGAAGAGGGAAGTGGAATGGAAGGAGGCTTACTGCTGGAGGTGCTGGCGGAAAATAACCCAATGTTTCTGGTCGGCGTCGTTGCGGGTGTCGCCGTGGTAGTCATACTATTGATCGTTTTATTGTGTTGTTTAATCAAGAAGTGTTACAATTACTTCGGCGAGGTGAAGGATTCCGTGAGGTCCACCTCTGCTGAACATGCTGTCGTGGACTAGTAACAAGGTCGATATGTGGTCCTACGGGCCGCTCCAAGCAACAGCCTGTTGGAGCAAGCTCGCACAGGTCAGGCCGGGCTTGGGGAGTAGAAGAACTCCCAGAACCCCATCAACCAGGTATCAAACAGGTAACAAGTTCAGGCGATTAATGTACGTGAAACAACCAAGTTCAGGCGATTAATAAAGGGTGTGGAGCAGGAGACCCTAATATCCAAGAATCATGATGGGAAGTACCTGGAATATTTACAGAATCTGGGGTTTGAGGTCATCGATGGGTAACTGCTGTAATCCCAGTTCACATCCAAGAACCTCCTGGGTAAAGGTAAATTTGCCGTAGTCTATAAAGTAGATGTCGACCAGGTAAACATACCCTGCTGCTTTAAGCTACTGACAACATAGGAAAGTTTTGATAAACTGTTGTATGAATGTCAAAACATGTAGGCGCTAGAGGGCATATAAGGCGTGCCCACCTTGCTGGGGCTCAGCGTGTAGCCCCTGGGATTCCTGATGAGCTATCACGGCCGACGAACTATGTCGTCTTGGCGCAAATAATCAGACAACCCTCCGACGGAGACGTGCATCTTACAGGCTTTCTTCATGCTGAGTTAAATCCTGGTGGAGTTCCAGGAGAAGGGATTGTGTCACAACGACCTCAAGGAAAACAATGTGATGATAGAATTCACTGCAGAGGGAAAACCTGTTGTTACGGTGATTGATTTCGGACTAACGATGCCGAAGGGGTCTTACCCCTGGGGAAGAAGACCCCGCCTGAAGAAAGACTCCAAGCCATTTTATGCCCCTGAACTGATTGGACGAAAAGCTCCCTGCTCGGAAGCCACTGAAGTATACGCCTTGGGTTTCTTAATGAGTCGTTACATAGCACTGTTACCCGTCTCCGGCTCTTGTATAGAGGAGTCCTGCAAGGCGGCAATGGGGCCCCCCGAGGACCGGCCAGAACTGGAACTCGTACAGGTGGAGATAGCCAGAGCACTCAGACTGGTAATTTCATCTAGTATTATGTCTCATCTGCACTAAGATATAATGTCTATAATGCAGGCGAGTGAAGCAAGCGTAGAGGAGACGCGGGAGATGGTAAAGGGACATGGTTGATGGTTATTGATTGTTGGCAGTGGTAGTGATTGTTGGCTGCGGTAGTAGTGATGGTGGTAGTAACCGTTGGGGGAAGTTGTAGTTGTGGTAGTGATTGTTGGAAGTGGTGATGGTGGTGGTGATTGCTGGTAGTGGTGATGGTGGTAGTGATTGCTGGTAGTGGTGATGGTGGTAGTGATTGCTGGTAGTGGTGATGGTGGTGGTAATTGCTGGTAGTGGTGATGGTGGTAGTGATTGCTGGTAATGGTGATGGTGGTAGTGATTGCTGGTAGTGGTGATGGTGGTAGCGATTGCTGGTAGTGGTCATGGTGGTAGTGATTGTTGGAAGTGGTGATGGTGGTGGTGATTGCTGGCAGTGGTCATGGTTGAATTGAATTGAAATTGAAATAAGTTTATTGAGGTAAAATACACACAAAGGGATGAGGTAGCTCAAGCTATTCTCACCCCGTTATAACATCATGGTCATGGTGGTAGTGATTGTTGGAAGTGGTGATGGTGGTGGTGATTGCTGGTAGTGGTGATGGTGGTAGCAATTGCTGGTAGTGGTGATGGTGGTAGCGATTGCTGGTAGTGGTCATGGTGGTAGTGATTGTTGGAAGTGGTGATGGTGGTGGTGATTGCTGGCAGTGGTCATGGTGGTAGTGATTGCTGGTAGTGGTGATGGTGGTAGCAATTGCTGGTAGTGGTGATGGTGGTAGTGATTGCTGGTAGTGGTCATGGTGGTAGTGATTGTTGGAAGTGGTGATGGTGGTGGTGATTGCTGGTAGTGGTGATGGTGGTAGCAATTGCTGGTAGTGGTGATGGTGGTAGCGATTGCTGGTAGTGGTCATGGTGGTAGTGATTGTTGGAAGTGGTGATGGTGGTGGTGATTGCTGGCAGTGGTCATGGTGGTAGTGATTGCTGGTAGTGGTGATGGTGGTAGTGATTGCTGGTAATGGTGATGGTGGTAGTGATTGCTGGTAATGGTGATGGTGGTAGTGATTGCTAGTAGTGGTGATGGTGGTAGCAATTGCTGGTAGTGGTGATGGTGGTAGCGATTGCTGGTAGTGGTGATGGTGGTAGTGATTGCTGGTAGTGGTGATGGTGGTGGTAATTGCTGGTAATGGTGATGGTGGTAGTGATTGCTAGTAGTGGTGATGGTGGTAGTGATTGCTGGTAGTGGTGATGGTGGTGGTAATTGCTGGTAGTGGTGATGGTGGTAGTGATTGCTGGTAGTGGTGATGGTGGTAGTGGTGATGGTGGTAGTGGTTGCTGGTAGCGGTGATGGTGGTGGTAATTGCTGGTAGTGGTGATGGTGGTAGTGATTGCTGGTAGTGGTGATGGTGGTAGCAATTGCTGGTAGTGGTGATGATGGTGGTAATTGCTGGTAGTGGTGATGGTGGTGGCAATTGCTGGTAGTGGTGATGGTGGTAGCGATTGCTGGTAGTGGTGATGGTGGTAGCGATTGCTGGTAGTGGTGGCAGTATTGATCACTGGCTGTGGAAGCAGTGTTGGTAGTTATTATTAATGGTAATAGTGGTAGTGATCGCAGGTAGTAGAGATGGTTGTAGTGAACGCTGGTGGCGGTAGTTGTGGTAGCAGTGACCACTCGCAGTGATGGTGGTGGTGGTAAGGTAATTACCAGCAAAAAACACTAGGCCATTACGACTGTATAGCACTTGGAAGGAGAGAGGATAAGGATTAGGGATGGGACGGAGGCTAGGAATCATGCCCAATCCCTTGGGCGGAACTA